CGCCTAATAGTCTGTTTTTAACTCAAGAATTATAGGTGATTAAGAATTAAACCTAAATTTTAACTCTAGAAATAGAAATGCAACAGCAGAAATGTATTTAATAAAAATATAAGGGGAAAATAAAATTAGTTAAGTCCAATAAAAGCCAGTTCTTTGAAACAAATACATAAGATAGCCCAACTTATGTCAATATTGATCAAAAAACCTAGAGAAAACAAATTTATTTCTGCACTGGTCCTGGGGCTTGAACTCAGGGCCTGAACACTATCCCTGAGCTTTTTATTTCAAGGTTGATGCTTTATAACTTGAGCTGCACTTCTATTTCTGACTTTTTGCTAGCCAATCAGAGGTAAGAATCTAACGGACTTTCCTGCCCAGGCTGGCTTCAAACTGCAAACCCCAGATCTCAGCCTCCTGTGTAGGTAGGCTTACAGGCATTAGCCACAGGTGTCTGACTTAGTTAAGACAGTTTACAACAACAAAATAACCAAAGTACAAATCTATAGAGATTTAAAGTTCTGAGACTTTTATAAGCAAGTGAAAAACACTTAGAAAAAAGAGAAATTACAAAAGAAATGATATAAAACCCTGACTATGTTTTAAAATAATTTACTTACCAAATTGCATTCATGTCAGGTGGTTTAACAAAATCATTTTATTAAATTTGTAAATTAAGCTTGCAAGAAAATGCTTACACATAATTAGAATGCATAACAGAAAAGCCTCTATTTTTAGTAACAATCAAAAAGAAGATACAGAAGAAAATATACTAAAAGATGTGCAAGATCTTTCTAAAGTATATTTTTTTGGTGGTACTGGGAATTTGAACTCAGGGACTCGAGGCCATACCTTTAACTCTGTTTCTTACTGGTAATTTGTAAAATATAGTCTTATTTCACAACTAGATGTGTGCCTGAGCTGTCATCTGTCTCCTTTAGGTTTTCTGTCATCACTAGGATCACGTGAGCACTTTTGCTTCTACCTTCTTTGGAGTGAAGATGGAGTCTCATGGATTTTTCTGCCTGGGCTAGTCTAGAACCATGAACCTCCCAATCCCAGCCTCACACAGAGCTAGGATTACAGATGGGAATTCCAGAAACTTTCTGGACTTCTAAAAAATAGATTGAACTAATTAGATTTTACAAGTCAAAACTTGGTGATTATTAGTAATTTCCTATAGTTCAACTTGATATATAGATGGAAATAAGAAATCTTGTTGTATACTTTCTCTAACTTGGATTATAAAGGTGTTGTATACTTTGTCTAACTTGGATTATAAAGGTGTCAACCCTGTCCAAACTGGTTTACTAATTTTAATCAATATTATGTCACGAAATCATATGGCACTTTTATTTGGCATCAAATTTCAAAATCAATACAGGCTAAAATATCTAAAAATAAGAACCAGTAAAAACCAATGCAACAGCAATATCCAAAAGACAATATGTTGGAAATGCTCTGTACTACTTAGGGAGGCCAATGGGGTGAGGGAAAGTAAGAGAAAATGGAGGGAGGAGGTAACAAGTTCAATAAGAAATGTACTTATTACCTTATGTAACTGTAACCCCTCTGTACATTACTTTGACAATAAAAAATTCAATCTAAAAAAAAGAACCAGTAAGAAGAAAAAAATTAAGAAAAAGAACAAGCAGGAAGGAGAGTTTACCCTGACAGATATCAAATTTATTACATAAATTTATTCATTAAAACTGGTAAGAATGCACAGACTCACATAGCAGATCAGCATGGTAGCTGATCTGTAACAAAAACTGTAACAAAAAACAAGGTCATTCATGCAAGAGAAAAGAATAATGACATTGATTAAAATATATTGTATTCAAAAACTGCTTTGTTGAATAGCAACTCTTCAGTACAACTACTTAAAGACAAGAAAAATATCTTTTTTTAAAAAAAAAAGAGAAAGATTATACTAATTTTCATTCCCACCAACAGTGTAATAAGGTCCCTTTCCCCCCACATCCCCACCAGTATTAGCTACTGTTTGAATTCTTGATGCTGGCCAATTTCACTGGAGTAAGATGGAATCTCAACATTGTTTTGTTTTCATTTCCTTTCTGATCAGGAATATTGAGCATTTTTCCATGTGTTCATTGGTCATTCTGACATCTTTTTCTGAGAAGTCTCTACTTAGCTCCTTTGCTATTTATTAATTTGATTACTAATTTGGGGGAGAATTATTGCAACCCCTTTGTATGACTACTTATTAATAACAATAAAAAGGAATTCTCACTAGAGAGATAGAGTGGTGAGAGAAAGAGAGAGAGAGAAAATCAGTTTACAGATTCAGACACTTCAGTTCATGCCCTGTTGCTTTTGGGCCTATGGAAAGGCTGAACATCATGGTGGAGCATGCAAGAGAGAGCAACTTGCTCATGTCATATGGCAGAGAAACAGAGAGGAAGAAGAGACAGGTGCTCCACAATCCCCATTGAAGGCTGGCACACAATAACCTACGATTTCTGACTTCTTAAGGTGCCATCACCTTCCAATAGCATAATGCCAAGAACCAAGCCTTTGGAAGAACATACAGGCCTTTGGAAGACAACCAGATCTAAACTATAACTATAAAAAAGGTCAGAAACCAACCTGATTATACTTGAAAGCTTTGAATTGGGTGGAAGAAAGATGTCATTTGGTTAAAAGCAGTAGGACAACTAGATTCTAATATGAAAATACTTTGAAAGTACTCACATCATATGTTAATAGAAATCCTAGAAGGACTTAAAAGTCTGCATGGAAAAATATTTTAACTATTAAATGAAAAAACTTAACTTCATACATTCAAGACAGGAAAGATTTCTTTAATAAGACCTTGATTCCTAAGTATAAATTATAAGACCTTCTCTATAGGCAAATTGCAAATGTCTATATAAATATAGAGAAAACATAACAAAAATTAATGGTGACTTATGTGACGATAGACTGAAGACATGTGGTTTATCTCTGCTGCATCCATAATCTTCATTAAGTAACATTTTAAAGACAAAAAAAAATGGAGAGCATTTGTAAAGACAAAGAAAGAAAAAAGAGCCGGCTGTGGTGGCGCATGCTGGTAATCAACGAGAAGGATAAGGCAGGAGAATCACGAGTTCGAGACCAGCCTGGGCTACACTGGCTGGGAAGGTGGCTCAGTGGTAGAGTGCTTGCCTTGCATGCATGAGGCCCTGGGTTCAATTCCTCAGCACCACATAAGCAGAAAAAGCTGGAAGTGATGCTATGACTCAAGTGGTAGAGCGCTAGCCTTGAGCTGAGGGACAGTGCCCAGGCCCAGAGTTCAGGCCCCACAGCCAAAAAAAAAAAAAAGAGGCCCAGCCTCTTTTTGTTTGTTTCAGAGCCAATAGTAGGGCTTGATCTCAGGGCCTTGTGCACTTACTTGACTTTCTCATTCAAGGCTAACACTCTACCGCTTCAACCATACCTCCATTTTCAGATTATTGCTGCTTGGTAATGAGTCTCTCTGATTTTCCTGCATAGGCTAGCCTCAAATCATAATACTCAGATCTCAGTCTCCTGAATAACTAGGATTGCAGGTGTGAGCAACTGATGCCTTTAGCATCATTTCCCAAAGCATAGGAAAATTTAAGGAATGAAAAACAGACTAATTGAACTTCTATTTTATGGAGCAAGTAGATACTTGTAATTCACTACCTACATCTAGCTGGGAGGAGGCACTTCCTTACCCCACAGAAGACTGGAGGCATGACCCTCTGGGAAGAGGAGCCACAAGGATTTTGGATTAAGTAGAATTTGGCACAGGAAAGAAAGGTAAAGACTGGAAGAAGTGATCATGGTTTCACATCCTGAAATGTGATTGATTCCTTCCTTTCCTTGCTTTCATCAGTCAAAGTAGAAATGGAAACATTCTTTACTGTGGGTTTGGGTTCTGACTTCCAAATAGAAAAAAAAAATGGATGAATTCTGAGTGGTGTGATCTGATCTGCAGATTGTCTGCTTATTCGAAGGTTCCAATCAGCTTTGAGTGGCCCACTCCTGAAAATAACCAGAAAACTCATGACTACCAGCCAAGGAGAGTTTTCAATATGGAAAACAGAAATTCCCCTCTCTTCCACCCAAAATAACTAACAACAACAAAACAGAAAGAAAAGAAAGAAAAGGACATTAAAAAAAAAGAGATAAGTTTGAGTGGAGATAGAATCAAATGCCTTTTCAAAGGAATGTTTGAAACCAAAAAGAAAATTTGGAAATGAAAATCTCATTAACAACCTGGGCCCCCTCGCTCATGCCCACGATCTTAACTACTCAGAAAACTAACATGTGGAGGATTAAGATTTGAAGCTAGCCTGGACAGAAAGCCTTCAAGACTCCATTTCTAAAATAACCAAAAAAATGCAGATCTGGAGGCATGGCTCAAGGGGTAATATGCCAGTCAAGTAAGCAACTAAGGAAGTACAAGGCCCTTTTCAAACAGAAGTACCACCAAACTGCAATAACAGAAACAAAAAGTTGAATAGAAGATTTGGAAAATAAGAAGACATCTCTCAGAAAGTAAAAGGTAGATAAAAAAGTGAAATATACAGAAAACAATGCCTTGCACCTATAATTGTAGCTACTCAGGAGGCTGTGATCTGAGGACAGGTGTTTGAAGCCACCTGTTCAGGAGACTCTGATCTCCAATTAACTACTAAAAAAAAAAAAAACCCTGAAAGTGCAGCTGCGGTTCAAGTGATAGACCACTAGCCTTGAGAAAACAAAACAGAAAACTCAGAGAGGGCACCCAGACCTTGAGTTCAAGTCCTAGGACTGTCACAAAACCAAACAAGACTCAGATGGTAAAATAGGGCCCATTTTAAGTAGAGGCCAGACAAGATGATCAATATTAAGATGCTTGATAATCTGAGGTTAAAAAAAAACAACCAAGGTGATGAAAGATTTATTTAAAGATAAAATGTAGGAGAACTTCCTCAAAAGAAAATGGTGGACAGTACAAAATCACTAGGTTGTAGAAACTTGACTCTAGAATGGTCTACAATATAGTCACATGTATGGCAGTTAAGCTAGTAAACTTTAAGGATAAAGGAAAAAAATTCTTAATGCATGCCTACAGAAAGGAATTGCTCGGTGAAGTGATACTAATCATTCAACCTCTCCACAGAGAATCAGTAGAATCGATTAAAAATATTTTTACTTCTTCTCTGGTGCAGCGGGAGGGCCCGGGGCCCTGGGCCCGGGGCTTGGGAGGCCTTGGTGGTTTCCATGGAGGCTTCGGTAGCGGCCTCCGGGGTCGAGGTCGTGGCCGTGGTAGAGGCTGGGGTGGCGGCCCCGGGGCTCATGGAGGCAAGGCCAAGACAAGGAATGGATCCCCATCACCAAACTGGGCCGCCTGGTTAAGGACATGAAGATCAAGTCTCTGGAGGAGATCTGTCTTTCCTCCCTGCCCATCAAGGAGTCTGAGATGGCTGACTTCTTCCTGGGGGCATCACTCAAGGATGAGGGGTTGAAGATTATGCCCGGGCAGAAGCAGAATCCAGCTGCCCACCAGGTTCAAGGCATTTGTAGCCACTGGCGACTACAATGGCCATGTTGGTCTGGGGGTTCAGTGCTCCAAGGAGGTGGCCACTGCCATCCGGGGACCATCATCTTGGCCAAGCTCTCCATCGTCCCTGTGTGGCGAGGTTACTGGGGGAACAGGATTGGCAGGCCTCACACTGTCCCACGCAAGGTGACAGGCTATGAGTTTCTGTGCTGGTGCACCTTATTCCTGTCACCAGAGGTATTGGGATTGTGTCCGCTCTGTCCCCAAGAAGCTGCTGATGTCTGGAAGTGATGACTGCGACACCTCAGCCAGGGGCTGTACTGCTACCTTGGGCAACTTCGCCAAGGCCACCTTTGATGCCATCTCTAAGACCTACAGTTACCTGACCCCTGACCTCTGGAAAGAGACCGTATTCACCAAATCTCCTCATCAGGAATTCACTGCCCATCTTGTGAAAACCCACTCCAAAGTCTCCGTGCAGAGGACCCAGACTCCAGCTGTGGCTACCACATAGAATTTTATACAACAATAATAAAGTGAATCACGCCTGAAAAAAATACTTTCGTTATCTTTAAGTAGTTGTACAAAGTAGTTGCCATTTGCGGAAGCGGTTTATGAATACAGTGTATCTTGATCAATATCAGCCCTTTCAACATTCTCACTCACCACCCCTCAACCTACACCTTCCCTTATCTTAATTTTGGGTTATGCATTGAATTTTTTCCATTTAACAAAGCAGTTATATGTACAATGCATCTTGATCTATGTCACCACTTTAACGTCTTTACCGCCCTGTAACCCACCCCTTCCCTTATATTTATCAATTCTGTGGCACATACAATGAATTCTTTCCTGCATTCTTTCCTCTTATTCCTTCATTCTTCTCTCTCTCTCCCTTTGGCCCCAACTCTCCTCTTACAAGTACCCATTTCCTGGTACTTATTGGGCATTGACTTCATCTTAAATACACACACACACACACACACACACACACTACTATTTTCCCTCTCCATATAATCTATTACACTTCAATTCATTCATTTGTAACCCCTCCCTGACTTGGAGATGTATAGTCACATTCTAGCAACCACAAATGAGGGAAACCATGCAAGCTGTCTGGCTTACTTTGCTTATTATAATTTTCCCCAAGTCTTTCCATTTCCTTACAAATGGTACAACATCATTTCTGATGGATGAGTAGAATTTCACTCTATGTGTGCATAATATGTGTATATGCAATGGCTTATTTTAAGACATGTAGAAATCAGTGGTAACCCAATGGAATCAGCAAGTGAAGGTGTCTTTCAAGTCCATAGGAAATAGGTGACCAGCTCAGAGAGAAAGAGTTGGGAATTTGTTACCTACAGGCTCTTCTACAACTTGGAAAGAAATCTACACATGAAAACACTCAAGCAACTGATTTCGGAATGGAGCTCCATGGGTGGTGAGTTGATAGTGAGCACTGAATGTTGTTGTTGAATGACTATCAAATCGTCCTGAAAATTATATTTTCTAAACAAGATGTGCATATTGTCAACCTAAACAAAGTAAAATAAAATAGAAACAAAGTTCTGGAGAGGAGCAGGAAGGTGGGAGAAAGTATAAGGTATCAAAATGAGTGGGTTATAAACCAGGCAATCCATTTTAAGTATGATTTTTCTCAACTAAACTTTCGAGAATCACTGGGGACCACAAGCTGTGAGATTTTACTGCCTGAAAAACAGCTGGATATCAAATCCATAAATATGAAATCATTAGTTTTTGGAGTTAACAAGGCTAATAGATCCATAGCTTTCACAGTTAGAAAAGCTAACAGATCCATAAGCTTTTAGAATTAGCATGGCTAATCTGGCTGATGTCAGGAGCAAGACAGAGCCACTTAATTCCTGCTTGTGCTTCCATAGATTTAAGATAGGAGAGGAGGATTCAAGTTAGAAACACACCACATGAAAAATGGAGCCAGGTAAGTAGCAGGAGTGGTGGGGAGGGGGGTTAGGAGAAATAAGGAGAAGGATGAAAGGGGAGATCTTGTTCAAAATGCAATGTCCTCACAAACTGACATACTGAATTAACACCCCTTTATATACCTACTTAAAGATAATTTTAAAAATTAAAGGAAATTAATATTTTTCATTTTAAAATTGTTTTTATTGTAAAAATACTGTGCAGAGGGTTTACAATTATATGAGTAAGGTAACGAGTACATTTCCTATCGAACATTTTTACCTCCTCCTTTGTTTTTCTCCTACCATCCCTTCCCTCCACACCTCCCCAACTTCCCCCTTCTCCCCCCAAGTTGTAAAGTTCGCTTCCAACATCTTGTACACCTCATTGTTACAATGGGTCAACCTGTATCCTTGTTTCAGCATTTTGTTATTTCCCTACTCCTCCCCAAATTAGAAAAATGTATATACAAGAAGCAGGGCACCGACATCAAATACAGTGAAAAAAAGGTTATACTGTGGGGAAAGAACATACAAAAGAAACAAAAAAATCACATTCTGAACTAAGTGAGGCAATATAGGAAAAATTCTACCACATGAAAAAATTATAGCTCCTTGTAAATTGGGGGACAATAGAATTGGACTTGCTCACTTAGCAGAACATTCCCATTTCTAGAGCCAGACAAAGGGCAGCCCAGGACCCTGAAGAGGCCACAAATGTGATTTAAACCATGCCAGGTCTGATAGTGAAATGGAGGAGCAGAGGCACATCTGTGCTTTGCAGATGGATAAGCATTATCCTACTTTGTGAAAGATGGAGCGATGGAATTTGGAATGTACACTATCAGACTGGAGGTCTGGAAAAATTCTTTGAAGGGGCTGTCTAATGGTGTACAGACTATTAGGAGGAAAGCAGCTAATTTTCATTATGTTTTACATATTCATCCCATCCTCCTAACAATTCTAGGTACTCAGCCCAATGCAAACATTCAACTTCAGGGAAATAGGTTCTTGTTCAGTTCCGTCTTGTACAATGTCACACAGTTAACAGTTGCTGGAAGTAGAATTTATATCTAGGTCTTACTGCCCTTTGTATAAACAGCAAAAAGTAATGGAACTTAAGAGTAAATACAGTTTTACTAAGATGACCTTGGCAATACTAACATTTTGTTGTTGTTATTATTGGGAGAAGAATGCCAGTACTGGGTTTGAACTTGGGTCTTGGGCATTGTCCCTTAACTTTTTCATTCAAGTCTGGTGCTCTACCTCTCGAACCACAGATCTACTTCTAGCTTTTTGCTGATTAATTGGAGATAAGAATCTTACAACTTTCTTGCTGGGGCTGGATTTAAACCAGGACCTCAGCTTCCTGAGCTGCTAGTATTATAGTCGAACCATTGGCATCTTGCTTAAATTAGCTTTACTTTCTCTTTTGGTAATGTTCTAGGTTCATCTGGAATTTTCCAGACACTAGTTTGGCTAATTATACATTATACTAGTGAATTATAAAGTCAGAGACCATGTTTTATATATGTTTACAGTTGTGCCTTTTTTTTTCTTTGACAGTTTAGTTTGTGGCACACATCAGTGCTCAGAAATATTCTATGGTAAAGCCCATGAAAGTGGAGGGCAATCTCCAAACATAAGCTGCAGACTTCTGTACTGTTAGACATTTTGATCTGGATTTTATGGAGACATAGAAGACATGTATAACAAGTCTGAAGATGACAGAAAGCTGGAAAAGGAAGCAAATATGATTGACAATAAAATCAAGATTTGAAATACTCTTGGCAAATTAGAATGATTACTAAAACCCAAATGTTCTCTTCTCTATTTACCTTTGAAAACTCAACTGCTTAAGTACAGAATAGGGTGATGTAGTTTGGCAACAATTTATGTGAAAAGTTAGTCCATAATATAAGTCAACAATTTAATGTAGTCACTATTTTTTACAGAACAGTGCGTTAATAGGATAGTGATGTCTAAGTTATAGAAAACAATCTGTTTTTTTCTCATCTTATCATGGCAGAAGCGTTACTTTCAACTCTATCTAGACATTCCAATTTAAGGTGAATATTCGTAAATCCAGAGCCTCCAAGACAAAATAACCAAGAAGGTCAAACATTCCTTCAAGAGACAGTTCAAGGAAGTAGGGGACTTTGAAAAGCAGTAGTTAGAAGAGAAAATACATGAGCTACCTTCCTATATTTGCAATTATGCCCATAAGATTTGCTCCATGTTGTTTTCAGGGAACAGAAATAGGATGGAGAAATAGGAGAGAGCATAAGGCTTGTGGATTTCACTTTATATGGGAAAAAACATCCTTCTCCATTTGTTCATTGAGACACAGGCTAACTGAAAGGAAGCCCAGACTTTCCCTTAAGTGTGAATAATTGTCTGGAGGAGATATCTGTGCAGAAAAGATGGAGGACCAAAAAACAATCCCTGTTTCTCCCCCTCCCCCTTTCTTCCTCCTCCTCCTCCTCCTCCTCCTCCTCCTCCTCCTCCTTCTCCCCCTCCCCCTTTCTTCCTCCTCCTCCTCCTCCTCCTCCTCCTCCTCCTCACTTTTCTGGTGTAGAGAGCAACCTGCTTTCAAATGAGCAGAGATCCTCATTTGTTTCTTCTATGGTCCACTAGGACTTTTCTTTAACAAACTCTTCATTTCTCCCACACTATTTTCCTCTGCAAGCAATTCTATTTTGTGAAGGCAAAGCTGATTTCATTCTTGTGTTACATTGTGGTTTTGTATATTTTTTGTGCTACTGGGGATTGGACCCAAGGTCTTGAGACAAAACACTCTACCATGTGAGCCATATCCTCAGTTCCTATTTCATTCCTATACAGAACATCGCACAAACAGATCTAGTCTCCCATGTACAAAGAACTGCATTTTCTAATGTTTTTATTTAAGGAACTCTTAAAACGAAAATGCTTCTCAGGAGTGAGGACTGCTAAAAATAACTGTACATGAAGATCTTTGATAAATAAATACTTAAGTATATATTTATCAAAGGTCTTCATATATATTCTTTTTTCTCAAAATTGCTAGCACAGAATGAATTTTACATTGTGAATGTCTGTAGGAGATAGACTATACACACATTCTTTTATTCTCTGAAACACTGGTTGTTTAAATAGATTGACTAATAAAATCAAGAGTTTTTTTGTTGTTGGCATGTGTGTGTGTGTGTGTGTGTGTGTGTGTGTGTGCATGCATATGTATGTGCATATACTGAGCTTGAACTCAGGGCCTTGCATCTTGCTTGGCATTTTCACTCAGGATTGGCATTGTACCACTTGAGCAACACCTCCACTTCTGGGTTTTGGCTGGCTAATTGGTAATAAGAGTGTCCCAGACTTTTCCACCTGGGCTGGCTTAGAACCAAGATCCTCAGGGCTCAACCTCCCGAGTAGCTAAGATTACATGTGTGAACCACTAGCACCTGCCATAAAAATTGTTTTTGCTCATCTCCTGGGAGAAGTTAGAGAGAACACTTTGGCTTTTTAAATAGTCAATATCTTCATCCAATACTTCTTCAATTGAGTTTTTCTCAACATATAGTAAGTTACTATTATCTCATCACCAGCACCCTGGCCTAAACACTCA